AATAAGTTGGGCCCTATGGTATACACCAACGGAAATAAGTCGGGCCCTAGGGTATACACCGACGGAAATAAGTCGGGCCCTAGGGTATACACCGAGGGAAATAAGTCGGCCCCTGTGGTATATACCGACGGAAATAAGTCGGCCCCTATGGTATACACCGACGGAAATAAGTCGGCCCCTATGGTATACACCGACGGAAATAAGGCAGAGAGAGAGAACGGACACATGCATGGTCGTGTTCACCACAGCACAATGCACAATAGCAAGAGGGCGGAAACAACAACCTAACTGCCCATTGGTGGAAGCGACAAATACACGCTGTGCACACACACAATGGAATACTATGTCATTAAAGAATAATGACAGAGCCTTGAGACACCTAACGCCACGGATGAATCCAGAGGACACTGCACCGTGAAGTGAGTGGACTGCAAAAGGACAAATGCTGTATGAGGCCACTGTTCTAAGAAGTACTTTTTTTTAAATCAAGGGAAGGGTTCCATACCAAAAGAGGGCGCGTTGGATGGTTCCCAGGGCAGGAGGGAGGGAAAAGGGCGGAGATAGGCTAGAGGGGAGGGAAGATGAAGACGGGAGTGAAAGCGGGCAGGGCAAGCTAATCGAGATGCAGTGAAGCGTTACGCTGACTGGAGAAATAAGGATGTGACATGTAAGCCCTCACCTAATGAACAGTAAAAATTGCTTAAAAAAAAAACAAGGAAAAGGTAAGACATGCCTGCTACCTGAGGCAGATGTCCAACGTTAGCCCTTGGCTCCGAGAGACACCTGCCGCCTCCTAGCACTTGAAACTGGTGGCGTGTCCTCAGTGACACCCACACGCCTGTTCCTGCCTTACAGCAGAGCCCCGGCTTGATGCCTGCTCGACAGGTCATGACTCTGAAAACCGAGTCCAAGGGGACCCACGAGGTGCAGATGCGCCTGCACACGGCTGGGTCCCACGGCTCTTGGAAGGTTTGCTGGGCTCCTGAGATCCCGCAGGCTTCAAAGCACAGGCGTGAAGGAAAGGTGTTCGATCTCCCACACGGACAACTCTGGAGGAAGAAAGGCCTTCCCGACTATGGCTCCAAACCCAGAACTCCTCACAGAAAAGAGTGATTCACTCAACGGCACCAACAAAAACAAAACACAAGGCAGAAGACAGAGGAGCTTTTCCAGCAGCAGGTCAGGTGCCCACACCGGGACCCACCGAGGCCGCAGGAGGCAGCAGCAAGCACACACACGACACCACTGATGCCGAGACCCTGATGCAGAGACCGAGGGAACATCCAGGTGGAGCGACTCATTTTTTAGAAGCACAAGTGATACACGTGCCAGCACCAGGGAGATGCTGTCAGCACAGCTCTAGGAAGGGGTTCCACGGGGAACACAACCCCGTTTCTGCAACAAAACAAACGGCCAAGGGCCAACAGAGGGGAAGCAAAGACGAACTGCTGTGTGCAAAAAACGGCTACGCGCCACTTAATCAGTACGTGTCGTCTTAATCGTGGTACAAGTGTGTCATTTTAATCAATGCCAGCAGTAAATCTTGTCTGGGTTCTGGTTCAAAGGAAGCAATTGTAAGAAGACATTGATGAGACCATGGGGAAATGATGTGGGTGCTGATTGGGCAAAGAGAGAGGAGAAAGGCATCATGGGAACTCACGTCCAGGACTGATCGTGGCACTGGGGCTATTCGTAAGGCATCCTTATTAGAACTGTGTCTCCCAAGTCCCGGCCCGTCAAGCTGGCTCCAACTCGTGGCCACTGCACGTATGAGAGCAGAGTTGCTCCACCCGGTCGGCTTGGCTGTCACCCTGAGGAGCCGAGCCTCTCTTCCACAGCACGGCCGGGTGGGGTGGAACCGCCAGCCTCTAAGAGAGCAGGGAGTCCACGCTGAATATTTAGGAAGTGACATAACCTGTGGGATGTGCTTCAAAATCATCCACCAGAAAGAAGGGCAGGGCCAAGCGAAACCTGACTGGCCGCATGCTTACGGGCAGGAGATATCACAAAGTTCGTCATCCTGCTCTTTTGACATGCTTGCATATGTGAACTTTTCTGTCACAGAAGTAAAAAAATAAAAACCAACAGTAAACTGGACAGATTGGCAACTTCCATCACAGACAAATGGCTAGCTTCCCTAATCTTAACAAGCTCCTAGAAATTGGGAGACCAATAACCCAATGAAAACTAGACAAAGGATATGAAGAGATGACCAGCTCACAGTAAAAGAATGCAAAATGCGCTCCACGATGAAAAGATGAACCACCTTAGTTAACAGAAGTGCACATTGAAAAAGACACCAATGTTTCCTACTTAACAGATTTCAAAATCCAAAAGTTTACCAATGCATTCTGTAGGGAAAAAGGCATTCTTAAAACATGCTGGTAGGAGTGCAAGATGGCAGAACTCTAGAGGGTAAGCCAATACCGATCCAAGAAGCCATTGCATTGACCCTGTGGCCCAGCAATCCTACCCGAGGATTCTTACACACACTTGTATGTACAGGACAACGTTGAACTCAGTAACTCAACTCACTGCCACAGGAAGGAACGTACGACTGAAAACATTTCTACACTGGGTCTCTGGGGAGACTCACACCTCCAACCATCCTTTAGAAGCTGAGCGCCATCCAGAGACCCCAAAGGCAGTGCAAGCACCCACCCACGTACACTGACTCATTAAAGAAACAATGATACAATGAACCGCTGCACCGTGGAATACTATACAGCTGTGAAAAAGGATTTAGAAAGCTTTTTGCTGTATTTTTCTTTTTGAGAAATGTCCTGAAGAGCTCAGGATATGTTTAATGGAACAAAAGCAGCGCAGCAGCAGCAGCAAAATACAGATCAGCGAGCATACTGTGACAGCTTTCTGCAAGAACCGGGAAAGTAAGCACTTACGTTCACATCTTACTGTGTTTGCCTACAGAGGCTACTGGGAGGTACACAGGAAACGAGTCCAGGCAGTTACTCAGGAGCGGGCCTGGGTGGGTTGCACGGGAAGCGCAGAGCCAAGGCACCGCGTAAGACTTCTCAAGGTGCACTGTCCTAGGTGGTTCTGATTCATGACTGGTGCGAGTGCACAAAAGAAACCGTGGGAAAGCATCTCTCAGCTGAACTCTGCACAAGAGCCTAACAAGAGGCTGCGAAGTGGGTCGTAAAAGAGAAACGAGAGGAATATCCTGGCACCAGTCGAGGGAGTCCTCTGGACTCTCAGATGGTTTGCTCCCCGCCCCCCAGTCCAGCACCTATCAAAAACCAAACCAAACCCTGCCAAGTCGGTTCTGACTCACAGCCACTCTGCAGAGCAGAGCTTCCCCACAGGTTTCCAAGGCTGCGTCTCTGCAGGAGCAGACAGCCACGGCTTTCTCCTGCGGAAAGACTGGTGGGTTTGAACCGCTGATCTTGTGGCTTCGCAGCTGAGCGCTTAACCACAGCGTCACTAGAACTCCCTGGTCAGCACCTACCTCCATGAAAAAGATATCTCCATTTGTGTCTGTCCCTGCGTGTACCACGAATGTCTGCTTCTTCATGTGCCGGCTGCCACTGGACCGGATAGAGAGATCTCGTCCATTCTGTGGAGAGAGAGATCTCTTAGGGACACCCCAAAACCATCCTCACAGAGAAGCCTGGGCCAAGATCCCCTAACTCAGCGGCTCAATTCGCTTCTGTGGCCGAAGTCAGCAGAGCCTCATTTGTCAGCTACACACTTGCTGCCATTGGGCCAGTTTGGACCGAGACCCTGTAGGACAGGTACAACTGCTACCCTAGGGTTTCTGAGAGTGTACGTCCTCATGGGAGCAGATGGGTTTCAACCACCAACCTGGTGGTTAGCAGCCCAGTGCATGGGAAAACGGTCTTCTGCCACTGCTTGGTCTCTGGTCCCTAACCCTATCGAGGATGGCTGAGGACAACAGAGGATCTCATTTATGTGAATCTCACTTAAGACATTTATCACATTAGAACTAACAACTGAGGATTTTAAAAAAGGTATTAATTCACTGGAAAAACAGTAACTCCTTAATAATAAATCGATTACATGCTTGCCCCATTTTCTTTTTCTTTTTTTCCCCCATTTTCAAGGTTGGGGATGACCTGGATGCTACCATGATCGAGGCAGTGGAGGTGGTGGTAGTGGTGGTGGAAGTGATGGAGGTGGTGGTGGAGGTGGGGGGTGGGGAAGCCTAAGGAACCAGAGG